CAGGGTTTGTTTATCCTGGGTTTCCCTTTCCCAGAGCACCCATCTGCCGCAGTGCGGCGTGACAATCTACAACGTCCGACTGTTGGAGGGCCGGAGAGCAGTTCGGGTTGAACGAAAGGCCCAAAGAGGCTCAAAGTAGTTCGTTTACACCGGCGCCCGCTTGAGCCTTGAGCCAAAAAACTACTACTACTACGACTACTACGACTACGACTACGACTACGACTACGACTACGACTACGACTACGACTAAGACTACGACTACGACTACGACTACGACTACCTACGACTACGACTACGACTACTACTACTACTACTACTACTACTACTACTACTACTTGTTGTGAGCGCACATGTGTCAGCTGTAGTTCAGTTGCATGTTTGTGTTATTTGAGCGTTTGTCCAAAACAATATGTTTTGGCTCAAGCCCTTGTTCTAGATACTTGGAAAGTGCCAATTGCGCACGGCAGAACGTAGGTGTGCAGCCCTCGAGTTGCCACCTGCGGTCGCTCAGCCGACGCGGTGTGCTGACCAAGGGACTGGGACGAGCCCGCGAAGCAAAAACAGACTGCACTGCAAGTCCAACTAGCGCTCTGGGAAAGTGCTCCCCAGTCCCACGGCCCATCGCGGTCCGTGGCTGGACGCGTGGGTTTAGGCCCACGCTTGCGGCCTTTTTAGGCGCGGCGTGTTGTTACGCCGCTGGCCCTGCCCCTCATGTTGAAGGAGGTGGCAGGCCAGCCCGAAGGAACCACTCTTCTCGATTGCATCGAGAATCGAGACGGGTTCGGTCCCCTGCCCTGGGCGTATGAGCTACAACGTCCAGTGGCTAAAGTGGCGGAAGGATACGGGAAGCCGTCAAGCCGTCCGCTTCAGAAACGCGACGGGCGATTCACGACGTCCGAAGAGGAGGCCGCTCTATGGCGGAGCGTAATGGAGTTCGTCCACAGCATGGGCGAAGGAGAAGAGGAAGAAGATGAAGATTCAATGAAGATGGAAAGGAGGAGGAGGGAGAGGAAGATCTTCCTCCTTCCTTGGAGCCCCTCTACCCCGACGAGGGTCCGGAGCTGATTCCTGATGCAGGGAATAGCCCGACGGAGTTGGCCGTCCCTGCACGGGCGGTTCCTGCCGGCGCGCAGCGCAGGGCGCGTCTGCCACCGCTGCCACTGGGCTGGCTGCGGCCGTTGAAGGCGCGCTGGCTGTACGTACCGGCCGACCGCCGGGCGGGACTTTCGGGTCCGCCCTCTACGGCGGGATCGATCCCTGCAACGGCTGAGTCCTTGCAGGCAGAGTTGCGGGAGATGTTCCGCCGGACCAGGAGCCGGTTGCGGACTACCTCACGCATGTCGCGCGTGTGGCCTTGGCGCTTCGCGCGCATGGCGTTGCGAGACCGTTGTCTGAGCTGGAGATAGCGCTTATACGAAGGGGGATGACGGCGCTGCCGCCGACATCCAGAAGGAGATCCAGGCGATGGGTGAGCTCATCCTTGCCCTCGGCGGCAGACAGAGCGTCAGCGCCGATATAAGGTTTGGAGCTCCCCTTCTGACGTTCCTGCAGGGGCGGCGGGAGCTCGCGGTTTCCCCGGTTGCCAGCAGTGCCGCCAAAGCTGCTGCTGCTAAAGCGCCGGAGCTGGGGCCTGCGGCAGCCAAGCCTGGCGCCCTTACCAAGCAGGCCGTCTCTGCGGCCCTTCCGAGCGCGAGCGGCCTAGGCCGGGTGATTCCCCGCTGCGCGCCAAACTGGCGGCGCTTGAGATGGAGATGGAGGCCCTTAAGCCTGGCGCCGGTGGTTGAGCCTCTGAGTTGGCTGCTGGAGCAGACAGAAGCCTTGAAAGAGGCTCTGACTTCCCGCGGAAGCCAGAACTCCATTGCGTCGGGCAAGACAGACTTGGTCTGGCCGACGCGTACTGACGATAAGAGCGACACAAAAGATGCGGCCGAATATGTGGCCGCATTTTGACACTCTAGCTTCCGCCGTTACCAGCTGGAGTGCGGACAGCAGCGGCTGGGTAACAATCGGCCACTGCACAGCTGAGGCTTTAACATGCTCGCAGCTCCAATTCGCCGAGCATACAATGCAGTAGTGCGTCGTAGTGCCACAGCTGCGTTTGTGAAGGGTTGCCTCTGTAACACTGGACTTGGCCTACCATACCAAAGCGACTCGTCACAGACACTTGCCCGATGCAAGCAGGTGCTTCACACGAACGGCTTGCCCGGCACACTAAAGCCCAACACACGAAGCTGAAGTCACGAACGCTAGCTCTGCAAGCGGTAGAAGTTGTGGGCAGTTTGCGCACTTGCTCACGTAATGTACCTCACATGTCATCACAACCTCACGTAAGAGTGATTGCATCAAACATGCCTCTTTGAGACTTGCCTCGGCAATGCCTTGGCTCAAATGACCAGAAGAAAAGACATGTTCGGTCAAAACTGTGTGTAGTTGCGCGTGCTTGAGCTGTGACCAACACACGGTTATCAGCCGTAGCTCAAAATGCCATGGCAACAAACGATGCGACCTCAGGGCGCATTTACATTAAGGATCAGCGAGAGACGGGTTCTGAATATGAAGGCTGGCGCTTCACATGGAAAAGTCAAACATTGCGTGCAGCGCCGGACCCAATCGCTGCCATGGTTTACATCATAGAGTTTGATGCTGAATTTGTTTCCTTTGGCGATTTGGCGTCAAACCTGTCCGTAGACATGAACAAAACAGATGCGAATGTTTTCGCAGCAGTGGTTGCCGCATGTCAGAAGGGCAAGAAAGGACCAGAGATCCGCAAGTTTATACAATCACGTGCGCAATTTGGTTGTGGTCGTCAAGCTGTCCGCATCGATGACCAGCGGCATTTGCATGAGTCAACACAGTTGTCCACGGAGGCTAACACCAAGATCCAAGAGCTCAGTTGTTCTGGATTGTCGGAGCTTGACAGCTACATGGCATTTTTTTTGTATCGCCACCCGATGGGTTCCGGCGAGCATGGGCTCACCAATGCTGGGGGCATTGCGCTTCTGAAGCGCAAGCTCAAGGATATCAAAGAACTAGATGCCACCTTTGCCGTTTTCAATGCCAGCAATTCTGTGGATTTAGACGCCTTGATCTATGCCGTCAACGGTGTGATTGCACATCATTCTCAAGAGATCGAGAAGCGAAAAACACAGAAGAAGGCTGCAGCGGCCAAGGTCGCTGCTGCCACAACGGCGGGCGGCAAAGGCAAAGGCAAACACAATGACAAACTGTGTGAGCATTGCCCGGGCACACAGCACAAAAGTGCTGGTTGAATCCAAAGAGTTCCGCTTACAGACCTGACTTCGCGGCGAAGATCAATGGCAACAACGCCTCTTCGTCCAGTGGTGCGCAAGCTGCGCCGCCTGGCTTGGGAGCTGCGTCCATAGGGGCTCGTCCTGGGCCTGCAGTTCCGGCAGATGTTCTGACCAAGGCGTTTTCCGAGTTTCTCACCAAACGTTTCGGTGGCTCGGCGTGGCCTGCAGATATCGGGCCGGGCGCCCTTCAACAGTTTGCAGCTTCAGCGTGGGCCCTGGATTCCGGAGCCAATCAATTCTGCATCATGGGCGACAATGCCGATGATGCCATGTGGGAGACTGTGCAAAGTACAGACTGTGATATCGACACAGGGGCTGGCACGGCTCGGCCAACAGCCATGGTAGATGCAAAGGTTCCGCATCTCGGCCGTCGCTCGGCTATGCTGATGCCGGAGTCAAAAATCAACATGGCCTCGATGGGCGAAACTTGCGCCGAAATGGGGTATCACTCTTACTGGCCCGCTTGGTCTGAGCAGCCGCATTTCTGGCGCGATGGAGGTTCCAGCGAAGTGCCGCTCACCATGATCAATCGCGTCCCGTTCTTGTTAGGCGCAGTCGATGCTGGTCCCGACCGGACAGTTGCAGAAGGTATGGCCGGTTTATTTGTTGCGTCTGGCGTGCCTTATGCTTTCTGGACGTTCTGTCTCATGGCCTTCCTCTTTGTGTATGCGCGCAGCCCTGGTGCAGGTGGTGCCGAGTCACCTTACCAGTTCCGCTTCAATCGCTCCTACGATTTGAGCAAGTTGCGTCCATTCGGCTCTGTTTGCTATTACCTTTCTGAGGAGCATGAGAAGTTTGCATCTCGCGGACGGCTTGGTGTGGTGTGGGGTTATAGCCGCTTGCAGTCCTATTACGTCCTGGATTTCGAACTCTATGTCGAAACAAACGGCGAAGCCCGGATTGTGCACACGCGTGATGTGCACTTCCCCCCTCAGTTGCGCCACATTGGGCCCAACGTTTTTTCTTGCACGAATCTTTTCGAGCATCTTCTGCGGTCCCAGTGCAAGCTGCGAACTAAAGGAGCCTACAGGGTGCTAGCGGCTAGCGAAGCGGCAGCCGGCTCGGGGCGCTCGCAATCGCGAGGTCCAACACGTCACCCAACGGGAGCACGTCTGGCGCACCAGGCAGCGGCGGCATGGTCCAGATTCCAAGCGCGGAGCTGGCGACGGCTCGCTGCAGGGCAACCGACAGCACACTCCAGCAGCGGCGCGCCCAGCCCTGGGCTGCAGCGGCGCGCAAGGGTGGTGGGGCGCGTTGGACACGAGCCGGGGTAGGGTACGGAGGAACTGCTGGCACTCGTCGCTCCAGCGGCCCCCAACTTCTGCAGCGAGGACTATTCTAGTCGCTGAGGCTTTTGGCGGGTCAACTCCGGGTAGCGCGCGATTTTGCGCCGGCGCCGCGACACGCGCGACTCCCTCCCGCGCCGCGCGTCGGCACCGGGGACGGGGCGGCCAGCGCGAGTAAGGGGGGAGACGAATGTTGCGTCGCAGCACAAAGCTTCGCCGTTGCTCGTTGCTCCGTAGACAACGAAGTCGAGGCGGCGACGGTCGTCGGGGTGAACCTGCGGCGCTGTTGTGCGCGACAGCCACTGCTGCGGCACGACCCGTGGGCAGGCGAGGTGGTAGTCCCCGTATGCATCGACCTCAGCCCCACAGCCGTGTCGGCCTTCCGCGCCACAGTGCAGGGCCGTGAGGGGCAAGGGCAGCCGAAGGCGGCGCCTCATTGCGACGTGCATCAGGTCGGGCGCAAGGGTGGAGGCTGCGTCCGAAGGAATTGCCGCAAGCCAGATACCAGCGTGCGGACCGAACTTAGAGTGAAGGAGGGCGCGAGCGGCCGGAGCCAAGGCCGGAAGCAACACGGGTTCTCGCTGCCAACCTGGGTTTCCTAGGCCGAGTTCACCCTCAGCGGCCGGCGCGTCGGCGCCGCGGGCGCAAGACGCCCACTCCGGTCTGCTCGTCCAGCCCTCTGCAGCAACCTGGCGTGCAGCCTCCGCAGCTGCACGTATAGGCAAGGCGCTGCCGGTTCGGCTTCGAGTTTTGCACTAGCCGAGCTGCTGCATCGGGGTATCGGGAGCCCGGCCCGAATTGGCCGATGCACCAAGGCTTTGAGGAGCCGGCGAGGTCGAGGGGTGCACTTCGCAGACGCCACGCTTGTCTCCCCGCCCCGACGAGCCCAGAGTCCGGGCACCCAAGGACGTCGTCGCCGAGGGCTGCAGCAACAGCCGCATCTGGCTAGTGGGCGGCAGGGGCATGCGTCGGCGCCGCAGTAAAGTACGGAAAGGGGCGACGGCCTGGCAAGCTCCGAGACTGGCGAGGGCGGGCCGTGAAAACTCAGCTCTCGAGAGCACGGCTCCGCTGCACGTAAGCTTCGATTCGTCATGCAGTGCCATTCGCCTTAGCCCGCTCGCGGTCCGAAATCCGAAAGGCACGGCACTTCAGGCCCCTGAGATGAAACACATTTTGAATGGAACTCGCTTACCAAAGCCGAGATGTCAAATCTGAAACGGGGGTGAAACAGGCATCATCTGCCAGTGAGGGCATAGATCAGTGACCTTGATGTGCGCGCACAGATTCGGCGCCGGCCCGCGCCGCCGCCCTTGAGGCCTTTCTCAGGTGTGGGCTCCCTCCTCCAGACAGGCGCTGCGCTCCTCTTGCTCTCAGAAGAGAAGCCGAATCGGCGCTTTTGTTGCGGTGAATCAACCGGCGGCCTCTTCCCAGTCCGCCGAGAGCATGGCCAAGGAGAAGCCCGCGGCGGCCATCACCTGCTCTCTGCTGCTCTCTGCTGCTCTCTGCTGTGCTGAGACGGAAGCGCTCGCAATCTGCCTGGAAGAGGCGGAAGGAGGCTCCGATGCTCCAAGAGTCCATGGCAGCTGCAGTGCTACATTCCGACGTCCTCGTCTTCATAGCAGATATTTTCTCAAGCTCGGCAGCTTCTTGCTTGGCCGATGGGCCAATTGGCCTTGCCAATGGCACAGGGCATCGGCATTGCGAAGAGCGGGTTGTTGCACTGCACCTACGACCACAAATGACAAAGGCACCCAAAACCGGACCTTGGTTTTTGGCTCCGTCGCCCTTGCCTGGTAGACGGACGCCTCGATGGCGCGGCTCTTGGTCAGTGCCTGCGGAAATGTACCAAGATGCAACTGCTTTCCTTCGCTCCTCTCTTCTGACTGCCGGGCGAGGTTGATGATCCCCTGCCCTGGTGGCAAGATCTGTGCGAGCCCAACCTCCTACTAGTTACTAGAGGAAGCTTCGTTATCAAGAATGTAGATGCACCGGCTGCCGTCGTATCAGTCCCCTAAAGCGGCGAGACCTGACTGGGAAGCGTGCGCCGCCGGGTACCCGCCACCAATGCAGAAAGTCAGGAACAACGCCGGCCTCCCACAGATCGGGAGCACCGCCGCAAGGATGGCGGCCATGCTTGAGACGGATGCAAGGACGAGGGTCCTCAACAAGGCACCATGCCCCCAGCCCCAGCGCATCACCACACACCGTCCTCCTGTGTTGACTCCACTTGTCTGCACTACGCTCCCCCACAGGGCAACGTAGCCACCTGCGACAGGTGCGGTGGAGCACAGTGCACTTGCGGGATTCAAGCTTGGCGGTCCTGCAGATAGGGAAGAAACGGTGCTTCGAAGAAGCCCACGAGGAAGCGGACCTGCAAAGGAGCTACTGCGGCAGTCGTGCCGGGACCTCTGTCTTTTCAGTTCGGAACTGCGTAGATTTGGTGCAGTGGGATGCTAGGCTCTGTCATCAGCAGCATCGCCTTGGCCAGCGGCAAGCGCACTTTCGTGCCTTCTCTGCCTTTCCGTGCAGCTGAGGGCAGCACGATGACATCAAGGATAGCGCACACAATGACAACGTAAAACTCCCCGAAGGGGCCTGCAGGCCCAAGGTGTGAGAGGGACCCACCTGGCAGAGAAGGGCCAAGCCTGTCAGGCCAGCAGCATCAGCTCCGTTACTGAGATGTATACGATCCGAGTGCCAAGTTCATTGCCTTCGAGTTCCCGAGAAGCGATGTCTCAAGACTTCGGATGCAAGTGGCTGAGAGTAGCACTCCGGAAGCGAAACAGCCACGCCGATGTTGGAGCCGTGACCGAGTTGGCAAGCAAAGAAATTCAGAAGGATCAGAACAATATCAGAACGAAGACGACCCATCCATCTCTGACCCTGACAGAATCAAAAAAACGAACGGGCCCAACTCTGCTCGGCAGGACTTCCGGACTGGGCCTGGTCTTCTTCGCCCTCTCCTCCTTCCATGGCTCTTCTGGCGCCGCTTGCGCCATCGCGGAAGCAGTGCTCTCAGCTTACAGGTCGCTCCCTTCGAAGACCATATACATATACATATACATATACATATACATATACATATACATATACATATACATATGCATGTACATATACATATATCATACATGTATACATATATATATATATTATATATATATACATACATACATATATACATATACATATATCATACATATATATATGCATATATATA